GATGAACTTTCCGCCCGCCGCAGTATACATGTTTGAGGAACACGTGCGAGAAAACAGCAGAAGCTGTCAAAGTAAAACTAGATAGGTCTGAAGAAAGGCCTGAGACATGCAGCACTTGCAATAACAAGGAAAGAAGTTACAGTTACAATCGACGTTACAAAGACAAACTTCATGCCAAGAAAGGTACACCCACACAATGGGCACAACCTGAGAATCACAAACACCGGAATGCAAACAAGAAGCTTTTTTTGTATTGGAAGTGCGAATTGTAGCGAATACGACTTCTACAGTTCTTGTAGATTCCCCATGGTGCCAGGTCTGTGAGACATCTGAAGAAGCCACTCCATCCCAGTCAGTACCTACAGCAAAACTGCAAGGACCTCGTCTATCGACTCCGATCAACACTGCTCAATGCATCTCGTTCCAAACAAATTCAATCATCACCTTACGGATATACCTCGCCTATTTCGCATAATAGAACCTTGCTTTCGGATGCTTGGCAGGTGGTTCTTCAACAGACCAATGGTTAGATCGATGCAGGGGCGCGGCGGCACCATGACCCAAGATGAACAAAAAGCTAAGACACAATATCTGGCACAGGTAGCAGAGGCCCGTACGAACAGGTTGTCGAAGGACAGCAGCCACTCCAACATGTATCCGCCTGGGGCGAAATGGGATGTGCCCATAGAGCGGTCCACACAAAACAACCAAGGGCGAGGCTCATCCACATGAAAGCGCTGCTGCGTCCATATGTGTACCAAATCCAGCCTTCAGGCAAGTGCTTGGGGTCGGGGTCTGCAGAAGAGACCCTTGCTTCGGGCAGACTCTGCTGTCAAGCTGATGTGTCTGGAACGCTTGCTGCTTTTCGACGCTGTGTGACCACTGGGGCCGCCAGCCACAGAAAGCAAATGCTGTGGAGATCCAGAAGAGGGTGTAGCGCAGAGCGCCTTGGGCATGTACTTGTGGCATTGTTATGCAGCAAGCGCATGAGTGATCACCACTGCCATTGTTTTTGTACATCCACAGCACAGCCAAGCACAGAGTCTGTTCCGAAGTGCTGGGCTCCCAGCGCCCAATCGTCAGCTCTTCAGCACTGCGATTCAAGAAGAAGTTGTCAAACATCTGAGCCAGTTCTAAGCATCAGCCAGGGTCCTGACTCTCCATGGCTTGCAGCTTTTTGCAAGCAATGAAACATTGAGGGAATTGAATTGGGTCACTCCTGGTATGAGCTTTAAAAACTGCGAGACTGTTTAGACCAAGAAAGCTACCTGTTAGTCATTCCACGATTATGTCAATTTGTCTGGCTGATGTGCAGGGGCACCTGTACCAATGATGGTTTCACCAGGTTTCATTGAGAGTAATGCTGCATCGGACCCCACGTGAAACAGGGGCTGCCGCAATCAAGCAGATGAAGACCGCCGCGAAGGTCGTCCAGGCGTTAAAGTCCTGAACGGTGTATGGAAGTTGCATTCTCATAATTGACAAAATGGATAGGTGGGGGGGCAACAGTCTCTCACGAAGGCATTCAAGTGAAATCACAGCAGCAATTTGGAAGTCATTCAAGGTGCATTCCTTAATCCGAGGGCATTGGGCAGTCTGCGGAGTCCTATCGCAGCAGATTCGTTCATTCGCATGGGCCTTACCATAAACACCGTGGTGGCCTCCATTGATGTATTCATTTTGTTTGCTCCAAGTATGCCAAGACTGCCTGCGTTGCAAAGTCAGGCTTCGCTCCCTCCCACAAGAATACTGGAAAAGTTGGGCAAAGGACTCAGGAACGTCACAAAGCAGATGTCTTGTCTGAAGACACCGCCCTTGATCTTCACCAACACAAGTAAACTTCAATGTTTGCCGCGCGCACCCCATCGATCCTGAGCGCCTAACTCACGAGTGCATGAGCATTCTGAGATCCTCTTTTATGATCTCCCGACTCTGAGTTCTTGCAAAGAGAGGATGCAGAGTGCCTCGACCTCGAAAAGCTTCACCTGATGGTCTCGACCCAAAGCATACTTCCACGCAGCCTGGCAGAATGAGCTTCCAATTACACGTTTCCGAGCTTAGTTACAATGCAGTTCGACAGAAGGCATCACACAACTCTGCCAACTATCACGACAAACCCTCCAGAGAGCTCAACTCCGCACCTGAAACGAGGAGGCCAATTCTGCCTCAAGGCTTGACATGCTTGACAGAGAGGCTTGCCAGAAAGCTGTCTTCTTTTCCGGGCTCTCACAAGCGATTTCTAGCGCTTAGCCAAGAGCTTAATGCTGACGCTGCATGATGCTCAGGCTGCTACGTCTGATCCACCCCGGACACCCCTACAATCAGGATATGGTGCAGCCGTATGCATCATTACTCCAAGCTTGCTGTCATGCTGTGAACTTACTGTGAGCTCACTGGGAAAACGCAATGTAACAGGTCTGCTTGAGGTACTTCCTGCACGTAGGCAGCCTCACTAGACGACTCCAGAATTGCCGGCGGACAGCTAACCTGTGAAGTTGAACAAAAACAAAGGGGAACTTATGGTATCTTTGCATGGATGGGTTTGGGAGGTCTTGCAACCAGTGCCAAGCTTGTATGGCACACTGTTCGGCCCAGTGTATTCTAGGCCTGCCCCTCCTTATGCCCGACCCGACAACCCCTCCCCTATATAAGAAAGATTTCGTGAAACAGGACTTCCTCTCCAAACAATTCTCCGGTGCTCTCAAAACATGGCCAAACCGTTTCAGCTCTGCTTTGTGGATATGAGGGCATAGCCATACCAAACTGGCCCAACATTGACCCTGCGCTGAAACCATTCAGTCTAGATCGGCAAACCTTGTTGGCAACGGAGATGAGAGACTCTGGAAGCATGATGGTCGAAACCTGAGCGAAATGATTTCGAGACGTTGCAGGTTTCGAGGTGGTGAATTAGTTCAAATGCAGCAGGAGCCCCTCTTCTGGCTTATGGAAATAAGAGCTTTAGAGATCCTGTCTGGCTCAAGGCCAAAACCAACTTCAAGGTCTCAGTCGCGATGCAGGTTCCCCGGAACAGCGGATTGGTCTTGCAGAATTTGCAGATCTGCTGTATGATTCCCACGTCAGTTGGTTGCTGCAGTCTACAACGGAGACCTCTCGTCTCCACAACCCTGATGCACCGTAGCTGTCAAGGCGGACCTTTGAAGATGCCGTTGGCCCTCAGGAAAACTCAAAGGCACTGAGACTGCTGCGCCGTCGAGGAGGCGGTAGCTACAATGACCGGATTCGGTACGGGGAGGTTAGGCGGGCTTGTGCTGGAAGCCCGTCCTTGAGCCCTTGGGGCTGAAGGCGACTTGATTCTTCCACACAAATGTAGGTCTGCAAATTGGCATTGCTCTCCTGCCAGATGGAGCGACTTGCAACCTGAGTACGTACAGCTGATCAGCAGCTGGAATGTCGGATGTGGTGGAATACGTGCTCAGTGGCTCTGCCAATGTCTACATGGCAGTTTCCCTAAATTACTGTTCCCAAAATGGGGGAAATGTATATAGGGCCCCGTATTATAATGGGAACCCAAATATTGGACCCCGTATTATAGGGAATTTAGACCAATCCCCACATACATAAACGCCTCTGTTGTAACTAATTGTCATTGCCTGCTTGCAAAAGCGATTTTCGTTCATGCTTTGGGGGCCGGTCGCGAAGTCTCAGGTTCACCATCTGGTGGGCACAGCCAGCGCGCGTATTGCACGCCGGCTACCTCCCTGAGGCAGGAGTGCTCTACATTAACATCCCTGCTGTCCCCGCTTGAGGGGCTCCGCGTACATTGCATGACGAATGCAGACTCTCAGAGGAAGCGAAAGATTTGCCGCTTGAGACGTGACTGAGGGCCTTGAGCTTGGGGTAGAGTCCGGATTTAAAGTTCCAGACTCCTAGCTGGGGGCTGCGGATGTTCCGCTGCCCGCTTCCGCCCCTGGGACTGGTCCGCCGCCGCTTAGGTAGGCCAGAAGCCTTGCGCTTGCACAAGGCTCACTAAATTCACAACAAGCGAAATCAAATCTTTTAATGTGAGATGTTTACCTCCACTTCGTGCGACCCGTTCTCCAAAAGTCGTGGGAAAAACTGTATGGGTTTGAACTTCAGCCTCTGGGATTCAGCGGGAACATGCTGGAGTCCGAAGTTCAAGGAAGCCCTGATCTGGTGGCCCTTGACATCCTTGAGCACTGGGCTTTCAACACAAAATCTGTCGCGAGCATGGTTATGTAATCCTTTTCGATCTTTACGTTAACCGCCCCATGCAATCCAAGAAGGTCATCAACTCACACATGAGCGATAATCTAAACTCCAAGTGTCCCCCTTAATAAGCCCTCTCATATTCCCCCATGTAATCCCCTATAAAGGCGCCAGCATCCACCATTCCCCCCCCCTCTTGTCCTGTGGTCTAAGTTAGAGAAGGTTTATTGTATTTGTAGAGGGTTCGTAAACCCCCCCCTGTGGTGCTGTGGCCTGTGGTCTGGGTCTTGTGAGTCTTGTGGTCCAACTCAAGTTCAGAGTAGGTTAATAATGTTTGTAGAGGGTTCATAAACTCTTCCCCCCGCCCTGTGGTCCTGTGGCCTCTGGTCTGGGTTTGGAGGTTTATGAAGGGTTTGTAGAGGGTGTATAACAGTTTCTAAAGGTTTTTGAACAGTTCATAGAGGATTTCAAGAAGGTTTACAAAGGGTTGTAGAAGGCTTATGCAAGACGACGACCAAGCTGATCCGTGACTGTGAGTACTTGTAAACTGAGCCAACAATATAAGGTGTCAAAAGCGATGACGGTTGCGAGGACAGCAATGAGGACCACCCTGATCCCGGTGACTGCTGACACTTTTGAGACGCGACGACGTTACATAGGTCCAAAAGTGACGACAGGTACGA